ATTTACAAAAACAGGCAGCGGGCCTAATTTTGGCTGTGGGCCATAGTTTGCCAACCCCTGGCCTAGATCATTGTCTAGTACATTGTAAATGCTCAATAAATATTTGTTGAATGAATTAATTAGTGAATAAATGAATGAATGAGCACCTGGTACACTGGTGCACAGCTGGTACTCAAAAAATGCTTATTCCTTTCTATTTTATATGTAATAAATTCAAGGTAGGCCCTGATGTATTGTGTTAGAGGCACAAACAAGGTCCCATGGAAGTACTGGAAGGTGGCAAAGTCCTCCTCTTGGGATGAGGGAGGACTTCAAGGGTGTCTAAAGCCGGCCTTCCTGAGAGGCAGACCTCAAAGCAAGGATTCAAGGGCAAGCAGTTTATTTGGGAGGCGATCTCAGGAAACACTAGTAGGAGAGTAGGGAAGTGAGAGAGGGAAGGGGCCGGAAATGAATAGAAGGTGTGATAACGAATGAGCAGATTCCTACTATGGGCCACTGGACCTCAGTCTCACATTCCTCTGAATTATCCTACACCCCCACCCCACCCCTGCTTATGAGGCTTGGGTATTTATCCTCCAATTTCCACTTCCCCTTGGTTGAAGTCTACTCCTGAGGGCGTCAACTACCCAGTGCTTCCAGCCAGGTGGAGAGTGGCAGGTGCTTGCAGTAGGATGACATTAGCAGGTACCCAGTGGGTAAGGGGAGAGGGGACATGGCGGGCATGGAGGTGATACTTGAGCTGGCCTTGCAAGATAAGCACACACCATCTTGTCTGAGATACTGTTTTCAGGTCTCTGATGCCCACAGCTAAGCCTAATCCTAACAGGGATGGTCACTAATAGCTGTTCCAGCAGACAGACAGAGAGCATCTTCTGTCCCTTGCATCTAGTTGGGAAACTCTCTGGAAAGGACGCTGATTGGCTCAACCTGGGTCATATGTCAGCATCTGCAGTCAGGGGGCGGGGTATTATGATTGGCAGCCCTCTGCCACCACTTGGACTAGGGAAGGAGCATAGAAGAGGTGCCATTCCCCACAGGGAGAGGCGCTGGGCAGATGGAAGCAATAGCTCACCACCACAGTAAGGGTTCTTCTGTTTGTTTCTTTTACTTTGTGGGTGACAAGTAAAACTCACAGTGGAGCTGCAGTTTAATGAAACAATTTACACGCCAAAATAGAACAAGCCCCATCACAAAGCTCTTAACTGGTTTGGAAACAGAAAAATGAAAAGTGCATTCAGATTTTCTAAGTGTGCAGTTTATAGAGCAACATACGTGAAAGAAGAGAAAGTAATCTAAACCCCAAATAGTTAAAAAGCCATTCACTACTACTCTTTAGCCTGCTAGCCACTCAGGGCAGTGGAAGGACCCTGGGAAAGTTATTTAACCTCTCTGAGCCTCAGTTTCCTCAACTGTAAAATGGAGACAATGCTGATTCATAGCTCCTGGGCTTGTGAAGATTAAAGAGAGTGAGGTGTTTGAAACATGGGCCACGGGGACTGGCCCATGGCGAGTTCTCAGTAAATAGTTTTGATGATGATAATGATGATGATGATTTTCTTTGACTTCCCTGCGGAATCCTGCCTGCTCAAATTGTTCTTCTGTGGCCACCTAGAGGCCAGCCGGAACTTTTCCCCAGCTCCACGGGAGTTTTTGCTCACCACTGTCTTTCCAAGCACAACCCCCACCTCTGCTCCCTCCTCATCTCCAAACTAGGGGAGGTCATATTCTAAACAGACCTGGGGGGATAGGAAAGGTGCTCCATGTAGGTGGAACAGGGTAAGGAGGGCAAGAAGCAAGAATGGGGACAGGTAAAGATGTGCAGCCCGGAGTGGCTGCCCGTGGGAAGAGCTGGGCAGGGGGGAGCTGGCCGTGTCCCTAACCCCATCAGCAAGTCTTGCCAGTGACTTCAGCCCCTGGAGCCAGAGCCAGAGCCAGAGCCAGAGCCAGAGCTGGGGAGGGTTTATTGCTGGAAGCATGCCCACAATGCCGGGGATCTGTTTCCATCTGCTCATTTTACTGCTGGGTTGTAAAGTGCTAAATGTCATTATCCTCCCCTTCCTTAAACAAGAAAAAAAGTTAACAGCCTGAGAAAAGGAGATATTTCACTTCATTTGGCATCCAGCCACCATCATCCTCACAGGGTGCTCCCCGGGGCCTGATTAGGGACGGGGAGAAGCCCTGTTCTGTTCAGCTTTCAGCTGCTGGAACTCACTCTGTGCAGGCTCCAGGCTGGGCCCCGGCAGAGCTCAGCCTGGCTGCGGGCAGAGTAGCCAGCCATCCTCTGAATAACTCAAACGCTGTAATAGGTGCCATGACAGAAAAAGAGAAAGAGGGCCAAAGTGACTTATTCAAGGCCACTCTGCTTATTGGGGTCTGCTCTGTGTGGCGAAGGTGAACTTGAATCGACATAGAAATCATATAAAAGAACGTTTCAACTTAATAGAAAGACAAACTCAGAAGACTTAGACTGCTAAGAAATGGATGGATTACTTCAAGATGTAGTGAGCTTCCTGTCTGCCTGAGGCATGCAAGTGGTTTAGATACTCCTTTCAGAAGATTCACCGTGAAGAGGAGTTCTGACTTAGATGGAGAGGCTGGAAGAGGTGAAGACTAAGCGTCTTTTCAATACTGAAATTCTAGAAACCGAAAACTGAAAAATCTCACTTGTTTTCATGATCTTTAACATGCCTTGCTCATGCTGGCCAAACAGGAGTTTCTAACCAACTGATGTTGGCTTCTAGACACAGAGGAAGGAATAGGCAGGCAGCACAAGGTATGACTCATCTTCATCACTCTGATTATGGGGTCATTAGGGCTTTTTACACAGCAGTGCTCCCCTAAGGAACTCCTGCTGTGCAGCTGTGTGACAGACATTGTCCCCCCAGCCGCCCAGTAGGCAGGGGTATTCCACAGGACTCAAAGCTGGAATTAAACAATCACCCAGCCCCTAGCCTTCCCCTACCATGGTCCTGGGGGACTGCCTGGCCTGGCCTCAGCAGCGGTTTGCTGAAGAGGAGTGGCCAAGGCCAGGTCCCAAGCCCCAGGGACAGCCATCCTCTCCTCCCCACCGGGCTGGGGAAAAGCCACTAACACAGTGTGAGAGTGACTGCTGTAGAGGGTGGGGTAGCCAGCTCTGAGAACTAACACCTCCAGAACTCCCCATTGGGCTTCCCAAGTCCCTACTGTCCCCACGAGGCCCTGCATAACCCGCTCTGCATGCTCTAGCCTGGGAGCTCCCTGAAGGCGAAGGGCAGGGTTATTTCCTTCTCCATGGTAGCCCCACTGCTTGGCACTAAGCTTGGCACTTGGCTGGGGCTCAATAAATGTCTGTTGAGTTAGTGACTGAAAGGCCTATAGCCCTCCTGGAGTTGGCAGAAGTAAACTTGGCAAAGGAGAAGTAATCTCTATCCAAAAGGGCAGAGAACACTGACCCAAGAGTCTGGAGGTGGGGTTCAAGTTCGTAACTGTCATCAATTCATTGCTTGACCTTGGCCAAGTCCCTCTCTTGTCTCAGTTTCCCTACCTGGGCCTCAGTGTTCCAGCTGCAAAACTGGGGACTTGAGCTAAGGCTGGAGAGGAGGTGGAAAGAAAGCACGTGCTTTCTGGTTGAGGGCTCTGCTGCAAAGGCCCCTGGATGGCAGACCTGGCCCCACCCTCAGCCCTTGGGGACCTGGTGATGGAGTCACCTGCTTGGGACTAAGGCAGCCATGCCCCTACTTTGAGTTCCCTCAGTTCAACAACCAAAACTGAGTCTGCCTGTGTGCCAAGCTCCATGCAGTATCATGGGGCTGAATCAGATGTGGTCTCTGTTGAAAAGAACCAGAGTTGGGTGGGGACAACAGACATGTTGACATCATTATGATACAAGGACAAGGGACTACATGCAACATAGTGAGACACAATGCCCCAAGAGGGACCTGTGCACAAAACAAAGTGATTAATGACTGCTGGAGATTTGGCAAGTCTTTCTGGAGGAAGCACCTTTGAGCTGAGCACTTGGGATAGAAATTATAGGAAAAAAGCCAGCAGAGGAACAGGATGCACAAAGGCACAGAGGTAAGGTGGTTTGGGAGCACGGAGACCAGTACACTGGGGGCAAGAAGTGGGGTCGTGCTGTGTTGGTGATCACAGACCCAACTCCAGACTACCCGTGACACATCTCCCAGGAAGCGCTGTGTCCCAGGAGGCTGCACACAATGGGGCAGATCTGGTTCAAATCCTGGCTTTTCCCATGCTTATCTGTGACCTCATTCAGTGTCTCAGTGTCCGCACCTATAAAATGAGGATCACGATGTCGACTCTTCAGCACTGGTGAGAAAATTGAATGAGCTTCCATGTATGAAGTGCCTTGCACATGGGAGGCAGTCCTGGAAATGGGGTTTCCTTTCTCTTTTCAGCTCCTGGCCAGCATGCAGAAACCCCTGAGAGAAGCTCTAGTGGGTGGTGGTTTGTCGTTCATACAATTAATGTGAATGAGATTATCAGAAAGAAAGTTTATTGAAAAAGGTCTGGCAGGAGTAGGAGGCAATGGAGGGGGAATTGCATGACTCTGAGGGCAGGAAAAGCAAGGAAGGAAAGAAACTGGGAAGCCTGGGGAAGGGACAAACATCAACAACTTTCCAACTTCGCCAGCAAACCACATTGAATTCAGTTTGTCTGGGAAAGCAGAAGAAAGAGATGGATTCCTGTCCTTAGGGAGGTCACAGGTCACAGTCACGGGTGGAGAAGGGATGGGGGAGAAGTGGACAGGGCTGTGTATGCTGCGTGCTGTCCAGTCATCTCCTGGCTTCTGCTGGAATGGAGATGAGAGGAAGGAAGGAGGGAGAGATCACACCCAAAGTGATGAGCCATGATGAGCTATAAGGTGGAATTCAGGGGCCTAAGGGTGGTCTCACTGCCCAGGTTTCACAGGTGCCTGGAACACCAGCATTATCCCAGTGGATGTCAGCGTGCTCCAGGTGACAGGTGACACATAAACCCTTAATACATAAAACACTTAATGCTTTAGTGTTTCCAGTTTATTAGCATTTTTCCAAACCTGAAAAGTGCTGAAAATTGGAGGGACAGGGGGAGGGAGGCTAGGAAGTGTGACTCTGAGCAAGCCACTTTCATTCCACCGCTCTCAGCCTCTCCATGTGCACAGTGAGGGATTGGAGTGCGTGATCTCCAAGGACTGCACTTCTCAGTCTGTTCTCCATCTGTCACTTGGGACATGAGAAGCGATGTAGGGAAGCTGGCCTATCCCTAGTACAGTCTGAGCATCAGGAAAATGAGCAAAGCAGTGGGTATAACTATTAAAAAAAAAGGTCGGGGGAGGAGAGTACAAAATAAACCACAAACCATTACTGCAGCAAGGAGTCTTGCCATTGCAGTTATGTACAACCAGCATTCCTGCAGTCTGGAAAGAACTTAATCTGGAGTTTCAGGTTAAATTCACTCTTGTGAGTAGGGCCACAAGAATCCAGCTTGGCCATTCTAAGATTTGCTGACAATCAGAGCCTAAGTCTTTGACAATAAAATCCCACATCTAAAATTCTACAACTACGATTCCAAGGGTGTAAAATGCCAAGATTTTCTTCACTCTCTTGTAGGTTTGAGACTGGCTGCAGGTGACACTTCCTGATGGGTGGGGCCTCTAGGTTCTGCCGAGAACAGGGAAGTCAAGCAAAGTTTCTATTGATAGGCTTTATTTCAGGGAGTTTGGGGGCCTTTCAGTCTAAGCTGACCGAGGATGAGGCCTGCTGGAAGACTGCTAGAGAGTCAGGAAAGGGCCCTGAGCAGCCAGGTGTAGACCACCGCCCCGCCCTTACCTGCTCACTGATGGCTGTGCCCTCTGCTCTAGCCACAGCTTCTTCGGCTGCAGGACCTGACACCTACTCCACTCAACTTAAGTAAAGGGAGTCTTATGGTAAGGATGGAGAGTGACTCACGGGAATCCAAAGACGGGCACTCGAGGACTAGAAAGTCGCCAAAATGGAGCCAATTATCTTCTGTATCTTTTAGGAGACTCTCAGCCATCTTGTTTCTTCTGCGTATTTGCATAATTTAGTCCTTCGATTTGGCAGTTTCCCAGTGGCCCCTCGCGTCTGCCTCCAGCCTCCCTTGCTCTCCTGAATCAGGCCCTTTCTCCTCTGTGATGACATCAAACCGCCCCAATGTCTCAACTTCCCGGTTCCAATTCTCGAAAGAGAATCTGATTGGCTCCGCCTACCCGCCAGCCTATGGCAGCGAGAGCCGGTTTCCAGCACCCAGACCAGGTCCAATCATTTGTGGGCGGCGCCCCGACGGGACGGGGCCTCAGAAGGAGTAGGCTCGGCGGCCCCGCAGCGGGCCTGTGCTTTCGCCCTTGCGCTCCATGGTCTCGAGGAGCA